ATAAATGGACAGAAGCAGATTTGTACTGGCCCCAAGATCCTATAGGGCTCGATCGAAGGTGATTCCAGAGTTGACACAGCTTATGAGAGGAGCACCAGGATCTTTCATTTGTCGAGGAAATTGGTTTAGGAGAGCTACACTAACATCTGTCGAGAGAATCATTTTTTCTGGGGCCGATTGTGGCTCCATCATTTGAGTACATAGCTCTTTCAAGAACTTGGCATAGGTCATTGGGACATGTTGGATCGTGTCGAGGAGAGGGAAGTTAATATGGACTTCCCTGCTCTCCTCATTACGAGTCTCTTTCTTCTTTCGCAATGGTCCGATTGTGAGTGCAGTTGGAAAGGGGACCACAGGTTGGTTTGCTAAAGGCTCATCTTCTAAATTTTCCTTTCCTTCTTCTTCTCCCCCCAACTTAGGGTCTTCTTGCTCCTTTTCACTAACTCTCTTTTTTTTTCACACGAGTCCACTAAAATCCTCCCACTCCTTAAGGTTGTAAAGCCTTGGTATTTTCAGGCTGAGGGTTCTTAAGAGGTAGTTGAATTTGTTGTGGAGTAAAACCCGGTGGCTAATTTCTAGGGCTCACAACCGGTTGATTTGGTAGTTGCCCTAGGTTTTCTTGGCTTCTGCCAGCTATCCTATTTGGCTCTCTAATCTATCGATGGGCTGCTACTGATTTAGGATCAGCTGCTGAAGCTGCATGAATTGGTCATCTATTGTACGGGCTTGAGGAGGTTGTGGGTAAGTCTGATAAGCTTGAACTGGTTGGTTCCTAGGGTACATCTGTTGGAATTGATTCTATACTTGTGGCCTTTGAAATTACTGGGCCATGGAGTTAGATGGATGGTATTGTTTTTGGGATTGTGTGTAGGTTTGACATGGTTGAGCCGATTGAATCCCAGGGAAATCATTGTACTCCCAATGAGTCTAGGCTTTAGACCATTGAGAGTGCACATCTAGCAGGGGGTTTCTTAGACTTGGGCCTTGTAGGTGAAGTTGGGATGATTTTCCCACCCTGGGTTATATGGGCTAAAGAATGGGTTAGCATTGGGTTGGAAAAATTTGTTGGCCGCATGTACTTGGTCTGGAATGACTGGTTGACATGGGCCCGCTGCAGGGCACTGGCTAACATGATGGGCCAGGCTTGCATAGATGGAACATGTTGAATAGGATGACAAGGTTGGGTATGGGCTAAATTGTTGACGACATGCAAGGACTTGGTCAATTTTGTGGGCCATCCCATTAATCTTGTCTAGTTGTCGAGACACATGGTTCCAATCTATTTGTGACTCAGGTTGGAAGTAGTTTCTCATTCCACAAACTTCGACCATTGAATTCATTTTGTTTTAACCCACTTTTTCTTCTTTTTTTTTCAAATTTAGATTTTGAAATTTAAATTCAGAAATTTAAACTCAAATTTGAATTTTTAATTTTCTCTTTTTTTATTTTTTTTTATTATTTTTTTATTTGAAATTTGAAATTTAAATTTTTGAAATTTGGATTTTTTTTAATTTTTGATTTTCTTTTTTTTTTTGAAATTTGAAATTTAAATTCAAATTCAGATTTTTAAATTTAAATTCCTAAAATTCAAATTCAAATTTGAAAATTTGAATTTAAAAAAATGCAAGCAAATCAACCACACGACCTAGGGCGACCTAAGGTTTCCTAAACTAGTGGTTCAACCAATGTGAATCCTCTTAGGTTCACTTGGAATTACACCACTTCCTTTGGTTAGCCAAGTAAAGAAGTAGGGATGTGGGAGGCTCTCCTTGCTCTTGCAAGGACCTAATTAAGTAACCAAAAGCCCGCTTAGTCGTAGCCATTTAACCTCTTTCCTTGGACACCAACTGCCGGTTATGGAAAGTAATTACAAGCTTTCCTAGAATTCAGCACACCTTTGAACCAAGTGTGAGACTTCCCTAAAGGATCTTGCTATCCAAATTTTAAATTAGGGTTTAGGGTAAACTACACGTGAAAGGTGGTGATTTTTGGGCCAAGGAGTGGTGATGAAATCCTCACCTTATCTTATTTAAGTTGGGTGCCCTTAAATGGATTAACGAAACAAAAACAATCAAACAAAATGAATGCAATTAATTACAACTCATGAACAATTATTTCTAAAATGCAATTCGGCAAGATAACATAAAAGAATAAAATAAACTAAGCACAAGAAACAATTAAAATAAAAAAAAAATAGCACATTCACTACTAACAAAATAATTTCAGCAATTAAATAAACCTATATGATGCATGCCCAAGAATATGAAACCCTAAATGGTGGGATGCAAATGCAAAATTTTTAAAATATTAATTATATATTTTTATATTTTTTATATTTTTTTATTTTTTTTTTGTAATTCGAAATTTAATAACCCCTCCTCTTGCCTAGGCGTCTTCCTCTTCCTCTACCCTTGAACTTCTCAAGATCAGCCTTTCGTCTTACCTGGGGGCAGAATCCAACCCTTTCTCAGGAGCCTTTGGGTCATTTTATAGAGAAGGGTGGATACAATTGGGATTAGAGAGAAAGAAGGGGGCGGAAGCTGGGTTTTAGCAAAGATATGGGCGCCCTAGGGTTTCTAATGGAGAGTTAGGATGGTTTTGGGGTGATCCTAAGGCTGAGAATAAAAGGAGAGGGCACCCAATATTATGTAGGGCTGAGATTTGGGCGCCCAGAAATAGATGGTGGAGATTGAGGCACCTAGGGCTGAAAGGTGGAGATTAAAAGAGGTGGGTGGCGCCCTAGAGTGGATGGTTGAGATAGAAGGTGGAATTGAGGACTGAGATCTAGAGGTTAGGGGCTGAATAGTGAGGATTAACAGTTAGGTAGCGCCCTAGGGTTTAAAAGCTACAAAAAGAGTGCCCTAGAATGAGTGGTGGAGATTAGAAGAAGTCAAGGGTGGAGATTAAAGAGCTGGGGGCAGCTAAGGTTTGATAAGGAGGAAAAAAATAGGTTAAAAGGCACCCTAGGGTTTGCTAAGGAGAGGGAAGCATGCTAATACAGTAGGAGGGGCGCCATTCTGGGTTTAGCAGATAGAAAGCGCCCTCCTATTCTCAGTTTTTCACAAAAACACCCCCTTTCTCAGTTAGACTTCACACCAGCTTCCCAAAAATTGCATTTCAGCCATGTAACTTCTCCAATTTTCCACAGAATTTGCACGGAGATCCTCAGAGGTCACAACATTGAATTTAACTAAGAAAATTGCATACTTTGACTATTCTAAAGCCGAAAATATCCTTGAAATGATGCCCTTAAGGCATCAAAATGCAAAGTTATCAAGTAGCATCAAGAAGCAAGTTACCCTATCTTAGAAGAGATTTGAGTTCCTGAATTATACGAAAGGAATTATAAAGAAGAGATTTGAGTTCCTGAATTCCATCCTCATCATTTCTAGTCAATAACATATCATCGACATACAATAGAAGAATTGTGATTCTTTGATATCTTTGACGAACAAAGAGAAAGTGATCTGAAGTACTCTGTTTATATATGCACCAACAACAACATCCAGAAATCTCTCAAACCATGCCCGGGGAGCCTAATTGAGGCCATATAGGGACTTCTTCAACCGACAGATTGGCATGCTGTATAGACAGATAGGCCATATAGTTAAAGCATTGCCCAAGCTACCACTTAGGTGTTTTGGAGGCTCATTGCGTAGGCAACAAATAGACATGCTTTATAGACAAAAGCATCTTACATGGACTATAGTCGTAAATCATAATCAATACTCTACTTTTTCAAAAGAAAGAAAAAAGAAAAGAAAAGAAATCTGGCTATCAAAAGGGCTTGTGGGCTTCAGCCTGTTGAGTAGTCTACTATTCTCATGGGTTTAAAAATCCATTTTAAGAAAGGAACTTTAGAACAGAAGGTTGTCAGTCTTTTCCAGAAGTGGTCTTGAGGGTTGGATAAATGTGATATTGCAGGGTATAGCAACTAGCAAGGTAATGCCAACATCATACGATGGGGTTATTTAATGTGGAGTTGTTATGGTAAAAACTGTCTTTTTATGATGTAGCACTAGATTTGTTACATCATGCCGAACATAGAGTTTAAAACTAACACTGACACATCACTGGTCCCACAGGATGCACCAGATTGCAGTGTTTGAGGCACCTTATTTTTTAGACTGGTATGTCAAATAATATCCCATATGAATTGTGTCCTCATTGATTTTTTTTTTTTTTTTTTTTTGTACTGGGCTTTTGGGGTTGCACTCTTTTTTCTTGGACTGAACCCTCCTCTCTTTCTTATTGTCAACTTGTCATTAATAAAGAAAGAATTTACAATTGTTGTATCACCATCTATAAATTGTATCAGTTTCTTATGGTACTTCTCTGGCTTACTCTTTTGCCAGAAAGGGTAGAATAATAAAGGAAATGTACTGGGAGACCTCTTTCCCTGGTTAATGGAGACTATTGAGACTTGGTTTTGTATGATAACGAGGGTAAGCCGCCAAGAGGCTGATCTTATTTTTTCTTTTTTTTTTATGTACAATCCTTAGGTTAGGTATGAAGTTCAAGAGCATTCTGTGTATTTTCTGTGCTTTTTCCATTCTATATTAGTGAAGCATCTGATCTATTACCAATCAAACGAAAATAGGAAAAAAAAATAGAAAAGGGATAATGTCATATTGCTAAATTTTTCCTTCCATTATTGCCTTGAATAAGGCTCAACACATACATGTACCAGTACATGTTTTGCTAAGTTTGCCTAGTATATAATATAAATTAAAAATGCTGTAAATGAAATGTTCTTTTTTCTTTTCAATTTGATTCTGCTGATTTTATTTACCAAATGCCAGCCATGTTGGAACCAAGTGGTTATGATTTGAGTCCACTCCTCTCTCTCCCTCTCTCATTTGTAATAGTATGATCCTGGTAAAGGTTTAACAAGAATTGGTGAGCTACAATAGAGCACCAGACACAGAGAATGGGCTGAAATTGCTTTTAGATAGGTAACTATTTTGATGCCTCATCAAAGATTGTTCCTCTGCATGCAGCTGCACGGACAAAGAATTATAGTGGTGCAGAACTTGAAGGTCTTGTGAAAAGTGCAGCATCATTTGCCTTGAACCGACAACTAAGCTTAGATGATCTTACCAAGCCCATAGAAGAGGAGAATATAAAAATTACAATGGATGATCTTCTTCATGCACTCCAGGAAATTGTTCCTGCATTTGGAGCATCCACTGATAATCTTGAACGATGCAGGTAGATTTCATATGCAACTTTTTTCCTTTTTAGTATAAAAATGCATCTTGTTTTAAAATTTCTTTATCTTTGGATGGTTGAACCGATCCCGGCTTAGGATTTGACTATCTTTGGTTTCAAACATATTTCTTAAAAAATTAATCGATTGGAATTTTGGCATTCATTTAAACCTTTTTTCAGTCAGGACATTCATCTAAACATTAAGATAATGTTTTCTTTTACCTTGATGTACAAAATTTGAGTTTGTCTGATTACAGACTTGACTCCTGTATCCAAACCAAAACAATTGTCTTATTATAGTCCGACTCCTGTAACTCATTTGAATCAATATGCTAAGGTCTTCCTCCATAATCGTGCTACAACTCTGTAACTCATTTGAATCCTATTGTACCAGGTCCTCAATATAAAAAGTTAATCTGCATCTAAGCTTGAATTTTGTATATCTGATGTTCCACATAGGATGAATGTTACGCTGAAAGATTTAACTGTAAAATTCTGCATAGAAAACTTAGTAATGGAAATCCATAGTGTATCTTAGGAGTCAACATTCAAGGTTATCCTTAGGCAATAGCTACCCGAGATATTTTTCCTTGGATTGTTTCATGCAAATACTTGCAAAATGGTTAAGAATATCACAGCTAATATAGTTCGTGTTACTATAAGCATGATAGTTTATTAATAATCTATTAATTTTATAGCACCTTAGAATTAGAGTTGAAAGAAAAACTTCATGATTAGATGCTATCTCAATAGGTTTCTGGAAATGTATAAGAGCTTGACTTTTCTTATCTTTCAAAGCTCTCCAACAAGATCATTGGGACTATGGAAATGCTGAGAAAATGAAGGCAACATCATACCTACATACAAGGTTAAAAGACGACAGAAAGTTGCAGCAATTATCCTGGGGTTATGCATAAGAGACATAATAATTTTTTGATAAATGGTAAGCTATGGTATTATATTTACTAAATCTAAAAAAAGAGTGACTAGCCCCAGCAATACAAGAGCTCTACTGGGTAATGAGATAAAACCATGACCATACATTTGCATGTATATTTTCTCTACTTTCTATACATCAAAAGAAAAGTTGAATAAAATGTCTTTCTGTTGATTCCTGAAGTGGTCATGGTAAAAGTTCTCAAGTTCCTTGAAAATCAAGATCCAATGAACTCTCTCAATCTTTCCAATCAGAGCAATGTGATCAGACACCATGCCTTTGAAAATGTGGGAATTCCTCTCCCTCCAAATGATTGAACAAAGACTAGGGGTGTCAGTTGGACTGGATTTGGTCCAATCCAATCCAGTCCAATGTGAGCCCATTATAGATGGACCAGGTCCAATCTAATCCAATGAATATCTTGGACCATTTTGGACCGGTCCAATTCAATGTCTGGACTGTTCAATCTGTTCAAATTCGTTCTGATTTAAATCGGTTTCAACCCAAACCTGGTCCATTGACATCTATGTTCTTATCTTATATCAATGGACCAGATATTAGCTTAATCCAACCCAATCCAATATAAATTTATTACAGATGGACCAAGTCCAATCCAATCTAATAAATATTTTGGACCAGATTGGTCCAATCCAATATGTCTTATTGGTCCGTCCAATCCATCCAAATTGATTTTCAACCCAAACCGGTCCATTGACACCCTTAAAAAAGACTAAGACATAAAAAAGAAAAGTTAGAAAATCAGTCTAGTTTTATGCTTCGGAGATTCTCCTGTGGAACATAACTCTCTTTACATCAGTGATTGATGGAGAAGATAGAGAATAAGAAAGATCTTCGCATGGTATTCAAGTCTTTCTCAAACAACACCATTAATTAGGCTAGCATGCAAATCAAGACCAATTGCTGATAGTAGGGTTATAGAATGCATTTTCAGTTCATGCTTTCATCTCCTGTCCAGATCAGCTTCATTACATAAATATCATTGGCCACCTGATTTAAACTAACTGTAACATGCAGACTTAATGGTGTGGTGGACTGTGGTGAGCGGCATAAGCACATCCAGGATAGAGCTATGTTACTGGTAGAGCAAGTTAAAGTTAGCAGAGGAAGCCCACTAGTTACTTGCCTTCTGGAAGGCCCAAGTGGGAGGTATGTCTTCTTGCTTCTTCATATATGTTTTCTTTTTGTCACAATTCTAAACCTTTAATTTGAACAGTGGCAAGACTGCAATGGCAGCTACTATTGGCATTGCCAGTGATTTCCCCTATGTCAAGATAGTAAGCTCCTTCGCATTTTGAGTATTTATTGAATTTATTTGAACCTCCTTTTCCTTTTCTTGGTTTTGACTTCGAATGTCTCTGTGTGAGTGCAGATATCTGCAGAAACGATGATCGGTCTTAGCGAAAGCACTAAATGTGCTCTGATTGTCAAGGTCTGTTATATTAACCTTAATTTTCTAAACCTTCTTCAATGGATCTAGGAAAAATTACTGATTCATCTCAAGTAAGAAGAATGACTTGTGCAATCTTCTGGGTTGCTTCAATTGTAGAAGAAGAAATCTTGTATAGAACATATCATTGATTTGTCTTACTTTCATTTCTGTTTAGATGATCAGCCTTAAAAAATCTTGTTTGGAAAAGCTTAAACCCATTTATGATCAGATATTCTTCACAGGTGTTTGAGGATGCATACAAATCACCATTGAGCATTATCATACTTGATGACATTGAAAGGTAATTCCTGATTTGAAACTGTAGCTTTCATAATTATCTATTTTTCTTTTCTTCCTCTTTGTGTTAAATTTTTAAGCTCAACGGTCAGTCATATCAATACATGATGCAGGTTGTTGGAGTATGTTCCAATTGGACCTCGTTTTTCAAATTTGATTTCTCAGACGTTATTGGTCTTCCTCAAACGACTCCCTCCAAAGGTTTTCCCTTCTGCTTCTTTTCCTTGTTGACAATCCCAGAGACAATTAATAGATTAAGTATGTGGATAGAACTAAATTTCATGGAGGCTTGAGTGGCAAGACTGTCTCAGTACTGCAAAGCGTTCCCAGGTTTCAGCACCTCAAGGCAACCTTGTAATGTTCAGGTGGTAGTGGAGATGTCACTGTTCCATGCACCTTGTAGACCTTGAAAACTGCAATTTAGAGTTCTATTTAAAATATGTTTCACAGAAGTTCTCTTTTCTACTAAGATAGCTCTTTGGTTGGAACAAGTACCACCAGTTTTCCAGTAGGGTAATCACATCACCCCTGGATGTTTAGACACATGTTGAGGGAAATTAGATTCTCAGATGAGGATCTGAATGTGAGTTTTAACTGGTTAAAAGGTCTGCAAATCATCTAGCAGACAGGCTAGCTAAAGAAGGGGCTAACAGTGTTTCTTCCTACTTAATCCCTTGAGGGGAACTGTATTGGAGAATGGGCTTGCTAGTGTGATTAGGCCACTGTGGGGATGTAAGATATTTAGCATTATACAAGTTGAACAAGTTAGTCTTACTTTAGTTTAGTGCCGCAAGGGCAAATATGTAATTTTATATTTTATTATTTGAGTGGTCGCCGTAATATAAATATCAATCAAAAAGGCTGGCACCGCCAACTGATGTTTTTCTCTCTAAAACCTTTTTTTTCTCTTTTCTCTCTTCTCTCTTCTCTCACTATTCTGAGATCCTGCTGCGTGTTTACCAAGAAAACATGGTACTAGAGTGACAGATCAAGTCTTAGGATTAGTACGATCGGTCTTTTCCTTTCTCCAGTTGCTTTCTTTGTTCATTGGTGATGGAATCAAAGAAAAGGGATTTCTAGTTGACGTGGTGATTCTTCCTCTCCCCTCTTGGTCATGAGCCCAGAACTGTGATGTTGTGTGATCAGATTTGATTATACTATGTGAGAAAAAGATTTTTTTTTTTGTGCCTAGAACTGTGGCTGGACTAAGGTTTTAAAATTTTTGACTGAACTGTGAGTCTGAACTGAACTAAGAACTAGTTTTTGACTGAATTGTGACTGAACTGAAATCAAGTACCGTCTTCTGTCTTCTGAGGATTCTGGTATGTCTGATGTGACCTCTAGTCAGAGTTGAATGAGTGGAGGCTTTGACATGAGTTTTCCCATGGCTATGATTCCCATTGATGGTCTCAATTACCTAGAATGGTCAAGGAGAATCAAGCTCTACATAACTGCAAGGGGAAAAGTGAGGTATATCAATGGTAGAGTCAAGGAACCACAGTTTAGAGTTGTAACCACCAACATCATCAGATTCATTGGGGACAAATCCTATCCAACCAGGTACTCTCATTCCAATTGATTTTTTTGATCCTCTTGCTATTGATACTTCATTTGTTAATGACCTAGACATCCCTATTGCAAAAATGAAGGGAGTTAGATCTTGTACCACCAAGCATCCTATTTCACATTATGTTTCCTATGAGAACATCTCACACTCTTTTCGTACTTTCCTTTCTTCCATTGACAGTGCCCCTATCCCTAAAAATGTGGCAGAAACTCTCTTAGTACCTAAATAGATAGATGCAATTAAAGAAGAGATAAATGTCTTACATAAAAATGGCACGTAGGAGTTAGTGGATCTTCCTAAGGCACAGTGAAGCACAAAGTTGATGGCACAATAGAAATGTACAAGGCTAGGTTGGTGGCAAAAGGGTTTACCCAGGTATATGGAGTAGATAATGTAGAGACTTTTGCTCTAGTAGCTAAGATAAACTCTATTAAAGTTCTTTTCTCTTGCTGCAAATCTTGATTGGGATCTTCATCAGCTAGACATTAGAAACACCTTCCTGAATTGAGACCTTGAGAAAGAAGTGTACATGGTACAACCTCCTGGCTTTAGTGCCCATGGTAAAGAGTAGAAAGTGTGCAGGTCAAAGAAGTCCTTGTATGGTATAAAACAATCACTAAGAGCTTGGTTCAACAAGTTTCATCTGGCTATGTAGCAGATTGGCTACAAACAGTGTCAGACTGACCATACACTATTTGTTAAAAAGGGGGAAGGAAAGATTGCAGCCTTGATAGTGTATATTGATGACATAGTGATCACAAGTGACTGGAAAGTTGAAATTCAGAGGCTAAAGGATCTCTTAGCCACTCAATTTGAGGTGAAGGATCTAGGTCCCCTATGCTATTTCCTTGGAATTGAAGTGGCCCACTCACAAAAGGGGATCTTCGTTTCTCAAAGGAAATACATCCTAAATCCATTACAGGATTCAGGAAAACTAGGATTAAGCCAATTGACTTTCCCATTGATCCAAATCACAGATTGGGTGACTGTTGTGGTGAGGTTATCAAGGGTGTAAAGCAATTCCAAAGACTTGTGGGAAGGTTCCTGTATTTGTCCATGACCCGGCTAGACATTGCTTATACCGTAGGTGTTCTTAGTCGGTTCATGCATACTCCTAAGACCACACACTTAGAGGTAGTTGAGAGAATCCCCAAATATTTAAAGAATTTTCTAGGAGCTTGTTTGCTATTCCAAAAGAATGAAATTTGAAGATTGAAGTGTATACATATGTTGATTGGGCTAGATCAGTTGATGACAAAAAGTCTCACTAATGGGTATTATTATTTTGTGGGAGGAAACCTAGCCACATGGAGAAGCAAGAAACAAAGTGTGGTGGCTAGGTCTAGTGCTGAAGCAATGTCCCATGGAGTGGCTGAAGTTATGTGGATAAAGAATTTGTTGAGTGAACTGGGTTTTCTAGTAGATAGCCCCATGTACTTGTATTTTTATAACAAGGCTGCCATCAACAATGCAGTCAACCCAGTTCTTCATGATAGAACTAAACATATTGAGGTTGACTGATAACTCCCACCGTTATTTTGTCACCGGTGAGCTGGTTCAAGGGAGCTCTTCCTCCTGAAATGAAAGAGAGGTAGAAGATGCGAGAGAAAAGAGAGAGAGAGAGAGAGAGAGAAAGGAAGAGAAATCTCAATACTTCATTCATTATTGTTCATGCATTCGTTCATTGGCCTATATAGTGCATGGCCAGCTGACAAGCTAACAACCTATAACCGATTCTGAGCATTTCACACAGGCTATGATTACTAGTGGCTCGAACATCACTTCCCCTGCCTTTGTGAATGGTGGAAGAGTGGGGTTGATCACATAGGTGGAATCCAAGCACGGTTTCAGAAGGCTGACATGGAAGACAGGGTGCAACTGGCACAACTGGCACTCAGAAGGTAGGTGGAGACGGTAGACCGCAAGCCCAATTTTCTCTGCCACCTGAAATGGGTCGAAGTATCTTGGAGATAGTTTCTGGGATGCCCTCTTCACCAGAGAGGCCTGTCTATACGGTTGGAATCATAGATAGACCCAGTCCTCAACTGAGAACTCCAATTCCCGATGCTTTCTTTCATAGGCTAATTTCATTCGTTGCTGGGCCTGTTGTAAGTGGAATTTGAGAAGCTTGAGTGTACTGTCTCTCGCGTGTAGTTGTGTCTCCACCTCGGCTACTGGCTCATAAGGTAGGATGGAGGGAGGTTCGTAGCCGTACAGAACCTTAAAGGGAGTCGTTCCAGCTGAAACCTGGAACGTGGTATTATACCAATATTCAGCCCAGGGTAGCCACTGAAGTATGTCTCCAAGCAACGGTTGACAACTTCAGACTGCCCGTCTGTCTGAAGATGGTAGCTGGTCAATGCAATATCCGGACCCCTTGAGTAGTAAAGTATGCCTTCCAGAAAGTACTCATGAAAAGGGGATCCTGATCTGTTAAAATGGACTGTGGCATCCCATGGAGCTTGGCCACCTCCCGGATGTAAGCCTGGGCCACCGTACCTGCTGAGTAGGGTCTGGAGAGGCTTATAAAGTGAGCATATTTACTCAGTCAATCCACCACCACCAACACCACTGATTTCCCATGTGACCTGGGTAACCCGGTTATGAAGTCCACCATGACCTCTTCCCACACCCTCTCCGGAATGGTTAGAGGTTGCAACAACCCGGCCGGAGTCTGGGTGCTATATTTCTGCTGCTTGCAAATAGTACATCGGACTACACACTCCTGCACCATCCGTTTCATACCTTTCTAGTAGTAGTGGGCTGCAGGCGTTTATAGGTGCGGAGAGATCCGGCATGTCCCCCTTGGGCCGAGTCATGGAAGAGTCGAAGTAGCTCTTGATGATATTTGGATTCTCCCGACACCACCATACGCCCCTTGTAGTAGAGAACCCCATTTTGGACTGTGTATCTCGGGGCCGGTGCAGAATCCTCAAGGACCTGGGCTCGAATTTGGGTTAAATGGGGATCGTCCTGGGCTTCTTCCTTCAATTGTGTAGATAGTGGGTAATTCAGCCTAGACCAGCCCAACAAGTGAAAGTCTTTAGCTCTAGAGAGTGTATCTGCCACGGCATTAGAGGGTCCAGGCTTGTACTCAATAACAAAGTCAAACCCCATTAACTTGTAGGCCCATTTATGCTGATTAGGGCCCAAAACTCGTTGCTCCAGCAGGTGCTTAATGCTGCGTGTGGTCTATCCTAACAATAAACCTTCGGCCCAGAAGATATGCTCTCCATCTTTGAACTGCCAAAGCAATAGCCATGAGCTCCTTCTCATAAGTAGACTTAGCTTGAACCTGTGGAGAAAGAGCCTTGCTGAAGTAGGCCAAGGGTTGGCCTTGCTGCATCAGAACTGTGTCGATTCCTTTACTTGAGGTGTCGGCCTCCACTATAAACTCCAGATCAAAATTAGGGAGGGATAGTGTAGGTGGAGTGGTTACGGCTTCTTTAAGTGCCTGAAAGGCTTCCTCAGCTTGCTGGTCCCACACAAATGAGTGTTTCCTCCACAACCGTGTAAGGGGAGTGGCAAGAACCCCATATCCTTTAATTAACCAGCGGTAGTAACCTGTCAGCCCAACGAACCCCCTGAAAGCCCGTGGAGTGCTGGGTTGGGCCCATGAGAGTAATGATATGCA